CCCCCCCCCTAAATCTTTAAGATATTTGGTTGAATCTGCTTTAGTTTAGATTCTCATTGGTTTGTTTTTAGTCATGTGACTTCTTTTTAGTCATGTGACAAAAACAAGGAAGTGGGCGGGCTACCGGGCTACCGCGGTAAAATACGAAAAACGGAAAACCGGGAATACCGGGAAAACCGGGGAATATCGGGGAAAACGGCCACCGGGGGAGGGTGGCCAGGCCTCCCCGGAGGGGAGTCCTGGACACCCGACCCCGGTTCGATAGTAACCCCGTAGTAGCCCCGCACCGAACCCCGGTATCGCGGGAGCCCGGGGACGAAGTAGCCCCGGTAGCCCCCCCTCCGGCCCCCGGTAGCCCGGTTGCCCGGTAGTGCGGTAGCCCGGTAGCCCCCTCTCCGGCTCCTTACCTTGTTCGTCCGTTGCAGTGAGAGTCCGCCATCTTGCCATTTGAGCAAATTTAAATCACTCTGGAATTTGTAAAAAAAAAAAAATCAGGGGTTTTCAAAACATTTAGGGAAACTCCAGATGGGAAAACAAGTAAAAGTTGCAAAATGACATTTAGTCTTTCAAATCTTAATTTTAAACTGTAAACAAGGAAAAAAGTACAAGTAGCTTATAACTGTACTTATAATATAGAATGAATATGACTGTTTTAAAAATATAAAGTAAAATTTAGGGGGACATTATCGCTTTAGGAATGCTTTTATTGTTGAATATGTTTCTGTCCTTGTACAAACATTTAAAATCTCAGCACTTTGAGTCAGACTCTGTCTGACTCAGAGTGCTTGTCAGGGGTTTTTCTCAAATACAATATTCAGCACAAATATTAACAATTGTAAACATAAAACAACTCCACATTACATTGCACTAATTAGATATTACAAAGCTTGCCACTGCTTTTCTGACTGATGCTGAGCCCAGTTCTGTTCTCTACTTTTGCTTTCAGCATATTCATCAGCGCGCACACTAACCAGTAGGATGACTAAACATTTAGGTATGGTCATTTTCATGGGACAGAAAGATGTTTGGAATTATTTATTGTGTGCAAAAGTTTCTAAAAAAGCCTTTAAGGGAAAGGCAGTCAAAAAGTGGACTGTTACCTTATCTGTGAACACTGCCGCCTTCTATGTGCAAACACATAATGCTTGACTTTATCCCTAACCCAACTTCTCTTGTCTGTGTCATTTTTCTTCTTAAACTAACAAATCCCAAGGTAATTTATAGCATAGAGGGTTAATCACCTCCAGGTAACCACAAATTTAATTTAACATAAGGGTGATTTTCCGATGAGTCTGAAAGAAGTTGTTATAACTTGTTTAAACACACATTTGCTTCGATTTGGGTGTTAATCTCCCACTGTCCAAAAACATGCATGTTGGGTGAATTGGGTGAATTTATTTACAAATTGCCCAGTCGGAGTGAATGTGAGCGGGTGTGGTTGTGTGTCTCTGTGTAGCCCTGTAAGGGGCTGGCGACCGGTCCCAGGGTGTACCCTGCTTCTCCCCTGTTGTCAGATGGGATAGGCTCCACGTTAATTTGAAGGATATATGGCGTACTGTATACTGTTAAGCCAGAGCCGATAAATACCTATGAACATTGCAGACTGTTTTAATGGATGACTGACTGTTGATAAAGCACTATACTCAAAAGTCATGTTACTGGGATTTGCAACCAGAATTGAAGGGGTAAAAAAAAAGGGGCATAAAAAAGAGATTTAAAAAAAAGTTTGCACAGTTGATGGTTATATTGAATAAATGTGATCAAATAGAGACATTGTCAGCACTCTTCTTTTTGTACCTGTTTTCTTCTTTTTTTTTGTGCCTGACCACAGTGCAGCCAAGGATATAGGTGGTTTGGAGGCCGTGGTGGCAAACTCTGCCTAACTCGGCACGTAGAAGCATGGATGGGTGCGCAGCGGCCGTTATGCGTGACAAGAAGATGCGTGCCAGGCTGAAGCTCCCACACATCAGACACTGCGAGCACACGAAGGCATGTGTAGACACAACCTTTGACAGCATGTGTGTCAAAACAGCCCATCGGCAGGCGCCTGTTCCAGCAGTCCCTGGAAAGTGATCCGAACCATAAAAGAAGCTGGAGAACAAGAGGCTGAAGAAACGCAAAGGCTATGAGGTACAGCACTGATGGCATTCAACGTTCCACCAAGAAGCACACAATCAATCATATTTAGTTATGATCGTCCTCATGGCGACCTCAAACGAACACAAAGAAGGAAAAAGCAACTGGAGACAGTACTGAACAGACAGCAGCTCACTTATTTCAGAGTTGGACGTGATGTCTCTTCTCACTACATGAACACTGCTGACACTTTGAAGAATGGACTTTCCCTTGTAATTCTTGGAATAGTCTAAAACCATTTCCTGGATGGGTTTACCCAAGCCATGGTTATTGGATCATCTCAGAAATATTTTGCCCTCATTATTTCATTCATTGGAGATTGCATTTTTCAATGTGCAGGTTAAAAAACATAACTTTGTTTTTAGATATTGCCTTTTGTGTCTTAAGACCCAATTGTGTAAAAAATAAAAACAAATAAAAACAACAAACAAATGTCAGACTGGACCCGTGGTTCCCTTTAACGTGTAAATGTAAATGTAGCTGACGCATGAAGTGATGAAGTGCCTGGACAGCACCTGGGTGGAGTCGCCCCTCTCCTGGAAGCACTTCAGGGTCATCTTGGAAACCTCTGGAGAACCTTTGCTCAAAACGTAAGCCTGCGCCAGCGTGGCGGTGCAGAGGGAGCTGTACGGCTCGGGGCCCTCTCTCGCCTCCAGCCCCTCCACGGCCGCCGCCGAGCACCTCTCCAGGAAGGCGTAGAGCGTCTGCACATCCCTGGTGAAGGGGATGGTGGACGGGCTCCAGAGCAAAGCTGGCAACCAATACTGGCCCTCAGGCTGCACCGCATGAAAAGTGGATGCGATTCTGTAGTCAAATCACCAAACGGGCTCAGTAAACACTTCTGAAATCTGCTGTCAGAGAGCGTAGTTTGTTGCTTTTTTTGTTCATCAAAATCAGTCAACTTGAGTCCATTTAGTTTGACTCTGTTTCGACTTAACCCAAAGCGGTTTTTAAATGGAAGCCATTTTTGGGGAGGATTTTAGAAATGAATATGCTGGGTTTTTGTCGCCTTTCATACAACTAAGCTGAAGGCCACACTACAATTTTAAGTGCTATAAAATCTATGACTCTGCAGTTAGTTAATCTCGGCGAAAAAATGGTTTAATCATGAGTCATTGAGTAATTACTATTTTATAAATTCTAAATAACATAAAGCCCAGCATTATAAGCAAATATGCCCTCAGGATGTAGACAAAAACTCACACCAAAGACACCACTTTAATGGTTATGAAAGAACTGCTGTGAGTGGACCAAATACCTATTTTAAACAGAAAAATCCCAAAGAGGCTTGATCTAAGGCTCTGCTCAATCCTTGTGTTTATATTCATACTCACCAATCAAGAACATTTCTCATTTCCTTCTGTTTACATTAAGTTTTGGTTCTGTATATTTATTCAGGGGCACGTTGGCTCTCACCTGTCCCGCTGGAGTTGACCCTTTGGACAGCCACCTGGCTCCAGGCCCCGGGTGCAGCCCCGCAGTCCACCACGCTGTGCCCGGGCTGTAAAATCCTGAACTCGTCATCCATCTCCAGCAGTTTGAAGGCGCTCCTGCAGCGAAAGTTTTGCGCATGAGAAGCTTTGACGTACGGGTCTCTGAGCTGCCGCTGCACCCAGCGCTGCTCCGCCGGGCTTTTCGCCTTCAGCTTCTTCATTACGCCGAACGACGAGTGAAAGCATCTTTTAAGTATGGAGAAAATCCCCATTTGTGCCACGGAGAGGGTCATGTGTACAGGTGGACGGTCATCTGTGCATGCTTACAAATGCCGGCGGAACTGTATCAACGAAAAAAGCCACATCACTACCAGATAAAAATGTCATTTAAAAGTGAAGGCTATACAACTAGGCAGGGGGTTAAGTAGCTGCGCGAGTTTAATAGAGACATGTTGATTCCCAGGAGACTTTGATCAACTGATCCAACGCGCTACAGCCTGCAGATCCTCATGCTGCCGAACCGTTGCATGGATTTAATTTTTAGTGTGAGGTGAGTCAGAGTCGGTGTAAAACTCCCAGCGTTACGACACGGAGGAGTTTCCTCAGAATGGATCGGCGACGCTCAGCCCTTCTGCGACACGCCCTCAGTCTTCAGGAGGAGCCGCGGGGGGCCACGCCGTTTCACTTCTTTCGGGGAATGAAATAGAGCATCAGGCGTCAGCAGAAAGAAAGGAAACTCAACAATATGTCGGTGAGTTTACTTGATCAATTATTTATCATTTTTATTCAAATTGGGTCTGTAAATAAACAGAATACCGTAAGTTGCTGCTCACATCTGAAAGAGCCGCGCATTACGTGGGCTTTAGTAATATTGTGAGACATATGAAGCGGAAAAGAAAAAATAAATTCTACTTCCTCCATGTCTTCTACTTCACTGTTTGCATTGTGCTTTCCTTATTGCATTTTTAGAATGTCTACACCGTCAAATTATTCATATCATTATACAACATGAACAGTTTACAGTTCACAAATAATCTGATTTATGCTTAGAAAAGGGGTTTTGGTTGCCAATAACTGAGATAGACAGGTCATTTCTATCACTTTGCAAGCATAATTAATTACTGCACACTCACATGTTTTATATGTGTTGTCAGCTTAACTGTGGTTTCAAGAGTCTAGTGTTATAGTAAGTGGTAAAAGAGACAGTAAATGAAAGTGGCTTTATTTATGTAGATGGAAAGCAAGTGTCACATTTGCACGAGACAAGATTATGCAGGTTAGTCATGAAATCCCAGCCCACAGCTAGTCAGGAAGGTTCTTCTTCGCTCTGCTTAGAACATATTGATGGCCTTTATACTCTTATTCTACTCTGTAGAACAGAATAAATTAAGGATCCAAATCCCATCTCAAGAAATCCTAACTCAATGTTAACTGAACCTTTACTTAACATACTGACATTTTGTCATTACTGACCAGCTTTTCAGGAAATGAAAACAAAAAAACAGAAGCCAGTGCCATCAACACATTCAAAATGACATCACTCCTCGTGGTAGGGCGGGTTTGTATGTGGGTGAAGGTGCCAAGGCTGGAAAAAGAAACGTAAATTGGATACTGGAGAGACAAATGCTACCATCGGGAGATTGATTCATATTTTACCAAGACGAATACCAGATCTATAAGTGACTTATTTTGGCGTTTTATCCAAATTCAGATATTTTGCTAATCTGTAAGGGCAAATTATTTTTTCTACAGTTCTTCCTTGGAGATATAGGAATCCACAGTTACATGGAAAATAGATAAACACTACACATATTTGTGTGTATATTCCTAATGATATCTAGTTATTGTCTGATCAGTTGAAATGTGGGACTGTCTGAGGGGGGGGATGTGTCGGATGATAGTCACTGCCAGAGTTGTTTTTCTGTGGCATGCAGTGGTGCATCATGGTGGAAGGAGTGTCTTGCTCAAACAGGCCATATCTTCTCAAATTACCAAAATGTGTAATTCAGAGGAATAGTGATGTCAGACAATGCAAAACACGCATTCCTTTCCTTTCCTTTCCTTTCCTTTCCTTTCTTTCCTTTCCTTTCTTTTGTTTTCTTTTTTTTATAGGATGGCATTTTATAAGTGAAGACATGAAAAATAGCATGTTACTCAAAGTGTGTGTTGAATTAAGGTTTGAACCATTTAACACTGTACAGATTTTAGATTTGTTTAATTATTAAAACTTCCCTGTTTTTCTAGAAATGGTGTTTTTATTTAATTGTGTTTGCAATGATCCGCACATTCAATGTGATGTTTTCTTTATGGGCTACACAGTGGTGTCTTGGTCAGCACTGTGGCCTTACGGTCACCTCCAGCTCAAATCCTCCTCAAGGCCTTACTTTGTAGAATGTGCATGCTGTCACTGTATAGGCTTGGCTTCTCTCTGGGTACTCAAGCTTCCTTCCTCCATCCAAAAACATGTACGTTAGGTCACACCCAGGAACTGAAATGATCCAAGGAGTGAGTGCATGTTTTTTTTGGTATGCGCAGGCTTGTTGTGGACTGTCGGCATGTCCAGGACGTTCACTGTCTCTTCAGAAGAGTCCCAAGCCCCAGCCCTCACAACCCTGAGATGGAATAAATAGTTATGAAAAAAAAATAGTTGGAAACCCTCAAAATCATGAAGGGCTGGAAGCATTAGGTTTAAGGGAATTACCTGTGACAGTTTGCTTCCATCCTTTGTTGTCATTTAATTTGATAACTGCAGGCCTCGACTTGTTCTACTTTTACAGGCATGCATCTCAGGAATTTCTTGTAGTTTTAAGTAAACAGCAGTGGTGACTAAAAACCTATAACACATTTAAACCATAAACTGGCTCAACAGACAGGAAGAAATTTTTTCTACTACTTTTGTGACATCATTCTGATAACATATTTTGTCTTTCTTAGGTGGAAATGCTTGTATCTACTCAAGAAGCTGTCACACCAAATACTATGGAGAATTCTACTCTCAGCAACGTGGATTTCCTGGATTCTCCATTTCGCTATAAGCTCTTCCCAGTTATTTATACCCTTGTTTTTATTCTGGGGCTTATTTCCAATGTCTACATACTGTTTGTCTTGCGGTGCCTTCGGGGAACAAAGGCTATGGGAGAGATCCGCATCTACATGACCAACCTGACCATTGCTGATCTCCTTTATGTGTGCACCCTTCCCTTCTGGATTGGTTATTATATTCGCAGCGGTGATTGGGTCTATAGTGAGATCATGTGCCAGGTGTCTGGCTCCCTATATTACATCAACACCTATGGTTCTATCCTTTTCCTTGGAGCTATCAGCCTCAACCGATACCTTGCGGTCACTCGGCCCCTGAATACAGCCTCTTCAGATCACAGGCGCCGTGGGATCATAGTGTGTGTTATTATCTGGTTGTTCACAGTTTCAATGTCCATTCCAAATCTTACACAAAAGGGGACACACAATGATGGTAGCTTAACTCGATGTTTTGAGGGATACCACAATGAAACAAACGAAGAGAAGAGGGCAGTTGCGACGACTCATTTCTTAATAATTGGATTGTTTTTTGTTGTCTTTTTCATTATTGTGATATTCAATGTCCTTATGGCTCGGGCTCTGGTTATTCAAAAAACTCCTACGGCTAAATTTTCCTCTCAAACAAACCTATCTAAAAAGTCCCACAGAACCATGTCAACCACATATGAAAGGCCCAGAGGGGTGAAACGTAGGGCTCTGAAGATGCTCCTAGCAGTGGTGGGAGTGTTTGTTTTGTGTTTCATTCCCCACCACATAATTCAAGGGCCCTGGGCACTGGCGGTCCTAAACATCACAGAAGGCTGGGGCTCCATGGACTGGAACCTGGACACTCGTCAAGCACTTAACGATGCGCATCAGATCGCCTTGGCTATCATGAGCCTCAACAGCATTTTTGACCCTGTCATCTATTATTTTGCCACAAAGAAGTTTCGAAAGTTGATTGTGGTCCACCTTAAAAAGCTAGTAAAGGGAGAGAGTATCTGCTCCCACACAGTCAACACACACATTTCAATTGACAGCAAAGATCAGAGCCAAAGACATCACAGCATTCACCCAAATCCCAATGAGGAATAACTCAAGGATTATGTGTGTGAGATGTCATCAACTGAGTGACGTCCATGGACTATGTACTGGTTGAGCAGATTCCTAGGTTTGAGTCCCACCCTGAGCCAGTTGTTCTAAGTCGTTATTTAATGCATATTAAAAGTCTTAAGTTCTTTTTGTCTTTATTAACCAGTGTTTCTTGACTGTGGTTCTTCAGCCTCATTGTCTTGCATGCTTTCTTTTTTTCCCTGTTCCATCACGCATGATTAAAAATGGCTTTGCTCTTCCATTTTTAAGATCAGCAGTAAGTAGATGGCCTTTAAGATTCGGACTGGGAAACAAAATATTGTACTTATACCGAGAACAAAGAGGAGCAATCCCTTGCAGACTCTCATTGTATTAAACAAACTACTGAATCATTTATTCATTTTTTGTTGGTCATTTTCAGTTAAAAAATGTGTCTCATTCCTAAGCTTCAGCAGCTATGTGAAGTTTGACCCATGTCATCTGCTTAACAATTCATGGATTAAGGACTAATGATTAAATTGATCCATGAATTTATCTCCAGTAGACCTAATTACTGTAAAAGTGTATTTACTGGTATGTCTTGAAGATAACCCAGACAGCCTCTGCTCATTAAAAAAGCAGCTGCTTGGGTTCACCAAAAAGTGGATAATACAGTTTAACTTTACACTGACTTTCTATCCATGAATGAGTTGATTTTAGAATACAGCTGTTGTTTCATAAAGCTTTAATGTGGATTGTCTCTGGTGTTTCTGTCCACGGGTTAAGAGCTAAACATGGTTTTATTGGCACCATATGTGGAACAATGTTAGGACTTTTATTAATGAATTCGATTAAAAGACTTTTGAACTGAATTGAAGGACTGATGAAGACCTTTTAGCCGGACTGTACTGTACTTCTTTGCTGTTGTTTTTTAAAAACTGTATATTTTATTAGCGCAGTTTCAGTCATCTTGTTGCTGATTTGTGCCACACAAATAAAATGACTGTATCTTAAAAGATGTAGAGGAAGTCAAACATCCTCATTCTTAGATACTAGGAAACATTAAACACATTCAGCTTATTTGTGTCTTATCAGTAGGTAATGTGGCTAACTATCTCAGTTATTTGAATTTGTATTTTACTGTCAGATTGACGTTGTGTGTTGTGACATTAAAATGCAGAAGTTTTAATACTTTTCCTGTTTCCCATATGACATTTTTATTTGCACCAGACCTCGATCAGATAATCGTGGTAGACCCATCATGCTGATTATTCAGCAATTTGCTACTTACTGAACCAGAATTTGTTTTGTTTTTGTATCTACTTTGAGCTTAGTTGATGTTTGAAGCATATTCATTCTACATGGTGTTATACTCAAAATGTCGCACGGTGTTATTTTTATCTTTAATCTTTAAAAAAATGTGCTCCATATTTTTCTTTAATAGCATTTGTTTGTGACAATAAGTTGTGGTGTTTCAAACATGAATAAATCATTAAAAACAAAAATCAGCAAGATCTTTTTAAGTGTGAAAAAAAAATCATCATCATTGGAAAAAAGGTGAGAACGATTTGAAAACAACAACAACACACAATTGTACAGTTGCATCTGCCGACGACACTGACTGAGCAAAAATGGGCTTTCAGAGCGGAAGAAGATCTTTTTAACACCAAGCAAACAGGAAATGAACACATAGCTCCACATTCGGTTACCCTTATGCTGCCACAAAAATAGACAACAGTCTTTTCTCCTTTTTATTGCACATCTCCACCCTTACTTGCATTGTCACTTATGACAGAGTTGAGTACACATTTTCTCCCGTCATATTGCTGGGGTCCAAATTGGTGTAGGCACTGGTGCTTGTGTAATTTATGTACACATCTGTGTCACTGTCAGCTTGTGGTGAATGTCCCCTGATAGACAGAAAACATTTGACTACTGGCAGTTCATGCACTCTGACTCAGATGACTTTCAGCATAAATACATGAAAATGTGGATCAGATCTGTCAATACTTACTTTGATGCAACTTCATGCTGCACAACATCTTAAGGAAAAGAAAGCAGTTGAAATGACACAAACATCAATCGAAATAATATGATGATAGCTCACACGTGGATTTTACCTTTATCAGCAATGCTCGGTGTGGTAACCATGTCATGGAATCTTTGCCAGCCCAGCCACAGAAAACCAATTACGATGCTCGTGAAGATCAGAAGGGAAATGAGGAAGGCCGCCATTCCTAATTTCTCACCCACTAATGTAAGTAAGCGGGAAAGCAAAGGTCAGAAGGCAAAAGGACACAGGTAAGGTTAAAACAGGTGATCTACACACAAAACAAGTATTTACACATCCTTACAATTTTGCTGTACATTGCATATTATTAGTTTTATTTTACATTTATTCACTATTCTAAAGTTCTTAAACATAAAATTGGTCCATTATCTGTGAATCTATTTGCATAGATTAGACCGAACATCCAAATGATACTAGTCTGGCTGACTGGTTAGTCGTTTCAGCCATCAGTAAGAAATATGAGGCAGCAGTGCCAGGGACACCAGTGAATATTCAGTTTTCATAGCTATGAAGCAAAACCCAACAATTACCAACCTGTAGTTTGAATGGAGACGATAAAGACGGTGTGATTTTGGCTTACACGATGCTGAGAAAGCCGGACCTTAGCGTGGCAGCAGTACACCCCGCTTTGCTCCGGCTCTGTCAGAATCAGTTCCCTACCCTTTCCCACCTCTTTCCAGGTTTGATTTTGCAAGTGTTTCCAAGACCAAGTGACGAAAGCTGGTTCAGTGAGAGCGCTGCAGTGCAGGTGGACTCTCTGACCGGCTGCAACGGGGTGGTCTGGTGTGGCCACCACTTGCAAGGGGGAAAGCTCATCTAGGGCGGAGGATGGAACAGAAGAGACAGATGGGAAGATGATGGATGAAGGAAGGATAGAGCATTTAAAACAGGAACCATTTTTAAAACAGAATTGGTATTTGACTTACCATGCAATTGTTTTTTAACCCAGCACCATTAACATATGCAATCAAACTTGTCATGTTTTCAGAGGAACTTTTTGCCCTATCAAGAGTGGACGAACATTGCTCTGGCATAGAAAGTGTTTGCGTATTTCTCTCCGTAAATACGCCTTATGCTCACAAAGTAAAACCATCGGGATTCAAAAGAGAAGAATTGGGATGCTGGGTAAATTATAAATAGTTACAGAATCTACTGATGTTCAAATATCAAAGCATTTTTTTTCACAATACGATATAAAAAATCAATTCAAATGCTGAAAATGGGACATTTGACTGTTTAATGAAAAATAACATCTGTTAAAATCATTTTACGCTGGCACATAGGATTCACCTAAAGTTTTTGGGTCACCCCAAATTACAATAATCAAAGAAACTTGGAACAGACCGTGGATCATTAAAATGTCTAAAAATTATGAATATGCTCCATATTAGAAGTCAATTATACAGTGCTATCAGCTTGTAAAAGACAGGAAAAATGGTTGAAAAGTTCTGTATTACCTTCTGTCATTGTTGTATTTTCTGTTACAGGAACATGGCTGGTTGAAGTTGGGACAGATACAACTGAAACATAATTAGAACATTAGGAAATAAAGCAATACATTTGAAACTCAGTTATTGGATAGGTTTGATTTTAATTATGAATAACACACATACCTGTGCTCTCATATAGAGTCATAAGCAGAATGAAACCAAGCAGCATGTTGTTTAGTGATGAAAAAAGGCAAGTCCGGACAGTTCTGAACAGATTTAGCAGGTGGAAACATTCAGTGTATTGTAATCAAAATGCAGGTGAGGTGTGATGAAATATGTTACTGGGAAACTGGAAAGGGGAAGCTTCAAGTTCCCTTATCTTTATAAAACAACAGTGAAACGATCCATAAAATCAACCAGTTTTTATATGGGGGGGAGGAAACTATATTCAATGCTTTTAGAAGCCGGTTGAGGACAGGTAGACAAAGTACCTTGACAGAAAAACAGCAGAAAAAGATGTTAAAACTAAATCTCTCCCACGAAAGCCCTTCATTTGCAGCATTTAAAATATACCAATCAATTTGTGACCTGCAGGCAGAACATTTGACCAGACTTCAACTAACTTTTAATGCGTTTTCTAAATTCAGAGCTGGCAGGCAAGTCTATCAGACTCTCAACACATGTGGCGCCAGATCTTTCATATCCGAGACATTGCTTTCCTCAAGGTGCAGGCTGTGATGGCAGCTCTGATTGTTGCAGTTGGACAAGATGGCATCAGCCTCTCACCTGAGGCCACTGTTCACCGGTTGCCAGTATAGCTCAGGAGAAGCTGGTGGAGTTCACAGAGTTCTGCACGAAACACAGAAATTCAAAAGGAATGTATCAGACTTTATGTGTAAATGATTCTTACAAACATTTTTAAAAATGCACAATCAACCAGCACTGGTTAAAAACAGTCGGATTTCTCTTTCTTGAGTAAATTATGATTTTTTTTTCTAAATAGAGAAACATGCTGGTTATGGTGTAGCTGAAGGACTGGCTTGAACCCCTTAATGCCTGTAGTCTCAAATTTGTCAATCCACTTCCTTACATAATGCATCTAAAATAGCTTATTTATTCCACTAATGGCGGTTGATGCCTGTCCTCTACACATGAATCTGTTGCAAGTCCTGGTTATTTTAAATTCAGGCAATGACAGCAACAAATTGTGTTGCTGCTGTAAATATTGAGTTTGGATCTATTATAACGTCAAATGTGAGGAATCCCCCTATGAGCAATCTGATGGGAAATTGAGAAATGCCATTATTTTATTTTTTTTGTGAGAGACATTTGATTGTATGAATCAAATCTCTCTTGACATGACCCCCATCACCAGAAAACAGTGGAAACCAAAACCATGGAAAAGTATGATCTGGTTGTTTCCAGTCTTACAGTTTTGAGGACTGTTCCATCTACTGTGTGAAATTTTCATCACATGTTCATCATGTTTCTCTAGAGTGGGTGGTAGAAAGATATGCAGCAGCAGAACGTGAACTACTGTAAAGTGTAACTGACTAAAGCTACGTCTGAGTACAGTTTTACTTCACTTCTCACCGTAACCTGAGATTGTTTTAGAAACTTGACTTGTGATAAGTGGCCTGATATGCGTGCTCACAAACCTCCCAAGCTAAGTTTCAAACATTGTGTTTGTCCCAGAAGTGTTCTTAAAATGAAGGAAGTGGTTTATCTTGCACCATCAGTTTGTTGCTGAGTAAATTTGCATTTACAGTTCTGCCCTAACTTGAGAAAGGGGAAACAATTTCACAAACATATAACAGTCAGAAGCTATGTTCTTGTTTACGTAGAATGGTTTAAATTATATTTTTTGCTGTATATGTACATCAGTCAATTCAATGACTGACTAAGTGAACCAAAATGAATTAATAAATGAATTAATAAAAAATAGATCTAAAATGATTGAATAGGTGACATAGAAACCCATCAGATGGATTAAAACTGAATGCTCATGTAGCTTATGTAGAGTATTTGGGGAGCCCGTATTGGCTGCTAACACTTGACCTCATTCCAAACCAGGTCATGTCAAGCATAACCATATAACTTGAATTAGTCAGAAAGCTCTAAATATCTTCAACTCCTTTTTCAGTTAATTGTTCATTAGAAAAACGAAATAAAACAAAACAAAACAAGGAGACCAAAAAGCCCCTTCAGATTTGTTTTTTATGGGTGTACACCTGCACATGTTAAATTGAGTGCATTTTCAAGGCTGCTAATTTGAATTTATAAGCTTCAGTTAACTTAAGAACTTTTTGGTCTCCTCCTTCTCTGTTGTTCAAGTTAAACCTATTTTCATAATTCGTTGGAAAGTTCTTAAAATGTTCCAGACTGACAGAGTTTATTGTCCTAAAATAATGTCCTCTAGTCAATATTGCCAACTATGAACTATCAAAATCTTACTTAAATTAATATGTTAGGGTTCCACATTCGACTGTATACAGTAACCACCTAAAACTAGGCTTAACAATGTGGGTTGAAAACGGACTGGTATCCAAAATAACAAAATCCCTCAGAGTTCACTAAATATTGGGGATAACTCTTACATACAGCTTAACAGTAAAGTCACAGTGGAACTCAGACACCATTCAACATCTTCCAGTTTACTTGAACAAAAGTCCAATAAAAGCAGTCAGAGGTCTTTAAGAAGTGCCAAAGTCATGTGTTGATTGTTCCTGGTAAAAGCGTTTTTTTCCAAAGTGCTTAAAGTGTTCATCTTGAAACCCCTAAAATCCTTTTTCTTCAGAAGACTGAATGGTGATAGTGTCCCTATAAATGCAATCTTATCGTCTCTGACTTCAAAAGAAAAAGAAGTGGGACCACTAAATCACTCATCATTGTGTGTGTGTTTTTTTTTTGTGTGATTCTTCGATCTCAGGTAATTACTCTTCATTGTTCTTCAATTAGTCACCTCATTATTTTGGTCTGTTGTAATGAGACAGAATTGACCGTGATGAAGTTGATAGTTGATGCCAGAGGAATACTCACATTTATCTGAGTACCTGATCTGTTCCGTCCGTTTGCTACTTGGAGAAATTCCAGAAGCATGTTTTCCTCATTCCTCCATTTCTGATCTCTAGGGGGCAGCATCCACAAAGCAGATGGGGAAGCTGTTTCACTTGAGCCATTGGGAGGCAAAGAAAGGAGGTTTTCTTTCTTGAGTCAGACACGTCTAACGGCTGTGACCTCACTGTTTTCACACTTCAGTCTGCATTCTCTGAAATGTAAGTGGAGCATAGGCCATTGTAACACCACACAACTTCTGTCATTTACCAGGAAATTTAACTAGGAAGGATTTTTAGAAAAGTCCTCAAGCACTATCGCGAAACTATGATTAACAACATCTGATTTTACAGACTCTGAAATACATTTTCAGAAAAAGATTAAAAGTGTGTAAATGTCTATGTAAATATTCAGTGGGTTTGGAAAGAAATTGGAGGGTTTTGAGTAAAATCTAATTACATTTGATCCTTTAGAAATATTGCAAATGAAACATTAGGTGATTACAAAAGAAAAATGCGTTTGTAAAGTTTCCAGCTTTCCTCAACTTCAACAGTTTCTGTTAGCTCAACACGGTCCTTGAACAGAACACACGATCATCCACTGGATGGTGCTCAACACTAATTTTACACCATTTGAGTTTATCCTCAGAGGCCAGGTTAATGCACAGCTATTTCTCTTTGAGTTTTTTTGTCATGTGAAATGTCACCTGTTCTTCATGGCATGAATGAAAATAAAATGTTAAAATCTATCTATCTATCTATCTATCTATCTATCTATCTATCTATCTATC